CTGGTCCTGGAAATGAAGGGTTGCACATTCTGGAATCTTTCATTGCTACCTTGCAGTGACGTTACAAGGTGTCTGTGCACATACACTTATATCATCAAGAACCAGGCACACTTGCTGGGATTTCTGGCAATTGGGCAACGTTCAGTTTTTGGACTCTGTGGAGGGTATTTTGTCACCTCAAGCAAAAATTTTTCATGGGCTTGGTGAAGTGCAAGAAGAATACCAAATCTGCATCACTCAAGATGTTTGTCCCTTTTCATTAAGTGTTCCTTGACGATTACCTCTGCCTCTACTTGAGAAAGTGAAGAAGGAATTGGATGAAATGGAAACCCAAGGAGTCATTCGCAAGGTTGACACGCCTACCGCATGGTGTTCAGGCCTCGTTGTTGTGCCGAAGCTGTCGTGCGGGCACAGGCTGTGTGTTGACTTGACGAAGCTTAACAAGGTTATCCAGCGGGAACGCTACATTCTGCCTACAGTTGAAGACGTCTTAGGCCAGCTTGGTGGGGCACAAATTTTTTTCAAGCTTGATGCAAGATCCAGCTTCCTCCAAATCAAACTAACATGTCAGAGCGAAGAGCTGACGACATTCATCACACTTTCTGGCCGCTATTGCTACAAGTGTCTTCCTTTTGGCATTGCGACAGCACCCAAGTATTTCCAACGCAGTTAACTCAAGTGGGCGTCACTCTTAATAAAAAGAAGTGTCAGTTCAGAGTCTTTTCTGTTAAGTTCTTAGGAGTTGTCGCCAGCTAGCAAGGAACTAGTCCAGACCCGGACAAAGTCAAGGCTATAATAGATCTCCCACTTCAAATCAATGTCAGAGGTGTTCGCCGATTACTTGGAATGGTAAACCATGGGGCTTGACTCATTCCTTACACGTCTGAGATCTCTGCACCTATTCGTGCTCTCCTCAACAAGAACAACGCATGGAGCTAGAGTTATAACTAAAAGCAAGTGTTCAAGAACATAAAGTCTTCGCTCAGCTCAGACATGTGTATGGCTATGTACGATCCCCATTACTCAATGATAGTATTGGCTGACGCAAGCTCTCATGGCCTTGGCGCCGTCTTACTACAAGATCAACTGTCAGGAATTCGAAGTGCATTTGTCTATGCTTCAGATCTCTCAGTACTACAGAAGGACGCTACAACGGAAAAAGAATTTCTGGCTGTCACATGGGCTGTCACCAGGTTTGACCAATACCTACATAAACCAGGCTTTGAGGCCAAATCTGTATTGCTCTTGTCACGTAAAAATCTAGATATCTTGCCACTTCGAATTCAACGTATGCAAATCAAACAGATGCGCTATCAGTTCTCCGTTAAGTATATTCCTGGAAAACTGCTAGATACAGCTGACACACTATCAAGAGCACCCTCTAACTTGCCAACTTCTAAAGCAGTCAGGAGCTTGGAAGGCTATATAGGGGAAGTTCTATAGGATCTACCTACAGAACTGGCAAGTCAGCTGGATGAAATTCGTTGTCTTCAAGCTCAAGATAGCGAATGTTCTTCGATTATGACCTATTGTGAGAAAGGTTGGCTGTCCAAGAAGAGAGTGCCAACCCATTTAGCACCGTACTGGAAGGTGTGAGAAAGACTGAGTAGATACGAGAGGTTACTCTTACTGAATCGCCACATTGTCATCTCGTCAGATCAACGCGAAGACATTCTCGCACTGCTGCATGAAGGACATCAAGGTGTCCGCCGCTGTCAAGAGCGTGCCCGAGAATGCGTTTGGAGGACCTTGCGACTCAATGTGCTAAGTGTGCTGATACTCGAGCCTCATGTTCTGAGCCACTGATACCAACGCCAACACCAGAATGACCATGGCAATGCCTGGAAATTGACTTGTTTCACTTGGAAGGACGGGACTATGTCCTCATCGTTGACTACTACTCATCGTTGACTACTACTACAGATTTCTAGAAGTAGCCACACTCGGAACTTTGTCAGCAAAAGCAGTTATTGCTGCCGTCAAGAGTTATTTTGCTCGTTTTGGAATACCAGACGTTGTACGGACGGATAATGGACCTCAATCCTCGTCCAAGGAGTTTGCCGACATTGCAATGGCATATCGATTCTGCCACGAGACCAACAGCCCTCGATACCCTCAAAGTAATGGGGAGGCACAGCACGTGGTGCGTACCATGAAAGATATGCTGAAGAGAAACCCGGATTCGTACTTCGCTCTGCTCACATACTGAGACACACCTGGAGTTCTGGGCGTCTCTCGAGCTCAGTTGCCCATGCGGAGGAGACTACAAACTCATCTTCTGGTTCTGTGGACCTACTTCTTCCGGCCTTACCAAATCGTGGGGAATTTCAAGCACAGAATACTGCAGCGAAGTTGAAGCAGGCGAAGGACTACAATCGCCCTTATAGTGCTATTCCTCTGATTCCTCTCAGTATGGGGGAGGAGGTGTGGATAAAGGATTTATGTCGCAACGCTCGTGTTCTCAGACCAGCTCAGCGACCAAGGTCGTACATTAGCGAGACTCCCAGTGGTGCTGTCCAGAAGAACCGTTGCCATCTGGTGCTGTTTGTGGGTGACCAAAATGTCCAAGGACAAGTAGCAACAGCTTCATCACTGACGCATGGAACCTTGCCATCAAGTCCGCCAAGAGCATCAGCCTCAACTTCAACGCCGGAAGCATCGCCTCCAAGTAGTTCATGCCCATCACCTATGCTGCCTGTGAAGATGCCCCTTGCCTGAAGTGCAGACTCTACCTGTGCAAGCAAATTCACCTCAGTGTGGTGAACCTAAGCGTACGCGTTCTGGTCATGCCGTGAAACCACCGTGCAGGTTGAACTTGTACCCGGAGGGAAGATGTAGTGGACCTGAGTCGTACGGTACGGTGAGGTGATGTTTTAGGTGTTTGATGTTATAGGAATGTTTGAGGTCTTAGGTACTTTATAGAACGCAGAAATACGCAGATAATTTTCTTGAGTCACCGTGCCACCAAAAGGAAAACTCTTGTTACTGCTCTGTTTCTTTGCGCAGAAAAAAGGTAACCAGACCGCTGCAGTTTGTCATCAAAAAGAGGCATATTTGAGGCTGCAGTGCAATTGGCAGACCCCTTTGTTTGCAGTGCTGAGATGACTCTCACGTTTATTCACAGCTTTAGTTCTGTTCGTTCACTGTTACTCAATATGTCGTTTGTCTTTGTTTTCTTTGATTCACCATAATTCACTTTTGGTTCTCTTTTGTTCAGCTTAACATTTGATTCACCTTATCAATTGTTTTTGATGACTTGGCATACACTCGTTACTTCAATTCACATTTTATTCATCTTTAATGTACTTAATTCTTTACCCAGGGAATGTGGGCATGTACCACACGTGGCTTTTGGTGTGTTGGCAGTGCCAGCAGTGGCCTTTTAATTTTTTTATTGGTGAATATAAGAGATTGACATAGAAAAAAAAAGGACTTGTGACATGGCTTAGAAGGCAAAGCATGCAGACATGGATGCAAATGAAAGCTAACACAGCAGACTACAGTTATTAATTTAGTTACAATGACAGCAATGTTGTGATTGGCTGCCAAGGACAGCTGCACTTCTGAGAAAAGCTGTGTGACCTTGTGACTGAAGTAGGCGACACTTTGAGAAATTATCTCTGGCTTGTGACGATAGCGCTAATTGCACTTCACTGAATCTCTGTAAAAGTGCCCTGCTGGTAGGTGAAGAGTGAAGGCTGGTCTTGCGTTCATTCGTCTAGGAAGAACATGTGCTCATCTAGAGACAAATGCCATTCACAGAGCGTGCATTAAAGAATGAGAAGTATGTTGCAGCTTTACTGTAAAGCACACATTCTTTTTATTCTCCACCTTCATATCACCATTGTATTATTGAAGTTGAGATAGAAGCTCCTATATTTCATTGCAAATACAAATGCCAGCCAGTTTCCCGAATGACCTGTATTCGCGCTACGGCGCGCGAAGCATTGTTGCCTTGCATGTCCAGTTTGACCGCTCTGGTAGCATACGTGTGGTGAGTAAGTTTACTCAATGGGCCCAGGTGATCAGATGAAGTCAAGACAGACTAATGAATATACAAAGAAAATATTTATTTAGGACTAGGACTTCATATTACACAAAACAGCAAGACGATACGAGGTGAAAAAGAGTTTACAAGGAAGTTCCTTCCAGCGCTCAATGCGGTGGCAGAATTTACACACTCAGCGAAAGCAGTCTCAGCGACGGCACTCACACACACCTTCATCGCGATGACCGCAGCACCGGGCAACATGGTGTAGAGTCCGTCGCTGTAGTGACTATGGTGCGTACATGCCTTGTCGTTTGCCCCGCTGGTTCGAGCTCGACGACTCTGTGCTGCACCCTGGCGTCTTGCTGGTGTCCAGATCATGCTCAACAAAAGCGAGGGCCCTAGGCACGGGGTCTAAGCCTTGAAGACAATCGAAGGCGGCCATACATGGCTTTGTGAACCAGTCTTTTTTTTCTTCCTCTTATCAGTCGCGTGCTCAGGGTTATGTCCCTATGGCGCACTCATTGCATTTCTCACATTTTTTCCTCGTTTCAGAAAGTTGCACGTACATCTGCTGTAATGGTTGAAGAAGATCACATAGCGTGCAACTTGACGGTGTCGAAAAATGTAGGGGCGCAGTTAGCTTGATGCTTTGGTTGCTCTTATACGTCCGGTTTGAGCTCCATGCAATTTTAATCCTGGTTGGAAAAAGTTTTCTTTCGATGGAGTGAAATGCTAGTGGCTTATGTTCTTTGCACTGCCAGTACACGAGTGTGTTACCCCACTTGATTGAAATTATCCGAAGCTTTCTGCTATGGCATCTTCTATAGCTTGAGCCATTCTGGGACGTTAAACCTTGCGAACCGCCCTTTAACACACGACACTGTGCTGATCGCCAGTCCTGCTAACATTCTGCGTGCTTATGGGACCACCTAAAATTAGAGTTGCCATATTGTAGTCTTTCAGAACTTGTTTAGATTTCAGTCTGTGATGGTGGTTCTTGTGTTTGCAGGGCAGGTGAAGGTGCCAGCAATGTCCAGGTAAATCCGGCTGTGGTGGACCGGCTGTTGCTGCAGGGTGCCACCCTTGTGTTTCTGGACGTGCCACCAGGCACCGAGTTTGGCCTTGACATGTCCACAAATGTGGTTGGAGACAAATTTAGGGGCGTCAAATTGATTCCCGCTGGGTTGCACTTTGTGCACTATAGTGCCGTGAGCAAGACTGGCACAGCTGCACCGCGCACGGGCTTCTTTCACTACTTCGAGAAAGGCGAAATGCTTGTCAAAAAGTGGGACAAAGCCCCTGAGGGTGAGATTTTCTTATCTTGCAAAAAAAAATGATTGTGCTCTTTCATTTTTTCATGCATCGTTCTTGTGGTTAGTGCTTATGTCATGTGCTGCAGTCTTTCTTTGTGCTTTCTCCATCATTGGTTCCTTTTTTGCCTTTCCTGCTATTCTCGCACTATTAATTGCCATACACGAAGATGTAAATGAAGAGCTATTTGCTAGGGTAATTTTGTTTAATTTGTCAAGGCCATCAGCTGCATTAAGGCTGCTTTGATGAAAAAGCAAAGGTTTATGATCATAAGGCACTCATATTGCGTAAATGGTATATGAAAAACTTTTTGTTCATGTTTTGTTCAGTTTTGCAACATTTCACACTCTTCCCAAATGTGTACACAGCAGTCTTGTGTTAAAAGAGCTTGTGTTATCCTGCTGTTTGTATATTACCATAGACTTTATTTAATCACTTTCAACTCAATTACTGGCTGCAGTGACTGTTTTCAGCAAGGCATGAGTGGCTGCTAGAGGTGTGACCAAAATGTACCTTTATTTTTTACACATATTTTTTTTAGCAGCTTAGATAATTATGAACCTGTTCTAACTTGTCATAGCTGTTAGCGTGCTATAGACATCTTTCATCTCTGCGGACATTGCAGCACAACCGGCTGTAGTTCTTGGCTTGATTAAATAATAAATTTAGAAATGTATTTGAAGTACCCTTGAGCTCTTTGCGTGTAATGGTACGTAACTAGATGTTACAGACTTCACCACCTGCCATGCTAGCTTATTGGCTATTCAAGGAATCTTGCAATACTTTTTGAATGCTGTGAGAAAACATTGGCATGGTGTAGTTTAACTCCTGTGTATAGGTGAGCCAACTATTACTGCACTACATGCAACAAAGAATTTACAGTATTGTACAAAAAACAGCATTTGCTGTTTTCTTTGCGCTGTCATTACCTTGTATGCAGAAAGTGGGCTTGACAGATTTCTTGATCATGAGAACATTTCCAGTAATACTGGTACTATAATAAAGAACTGAGACAGCCAGAACTGTTATTTGAGACCAGGTTGGAGCATAGGCCTAGCCAGCGACAGCAGCGGCAACATCCAGGCCGAGCGTCTCGTGCTTAGCACTAACGATGTGTTTGGCGAGCTTTGCATGACCCACTAATTCTCCATTACATATTTCCCCCTCGCTGAAGACGGGAGCCAAGTAGGTGTTCCAAGGTGTCGTGAGGACAAGTGGTTCATGATATAGTTTGAGACGATCCACGTGTATGATTTCGCAGCCTCGGCGACACAGGTCCACAGTGGGCGTGAGAGGTTCGATGAGGTAGTTGACAGCGCAAGTTCAATCTATGAAATAAGGTCCATGGTACCTGCTGACGAACTTTGTAGAGGTACCAGGAGCAGCAGTGGGAGGCACCCACAGCCAAACAAGAGAGTTTGGCGAAAACTGCTTGTGGGACCGTTCATCGTTGTGACGAAATTTCTGTAGCCCTTGCTCTTGTGTTGTAAGGGTGCGAGCTAATTGCCGTCATTTTTCCGCATTCCGAGCGGCTTCGGAAACTGGTGTGCCTTTGGATGAGTCGGGTCGGTAGGGGAGAATGGTGTCGATTGGAGATGATGGTTCTCGAACATGAAGTAAAAAGAAGGGAGAAAAGCCTGTCGTCCCTTGATGTGCCGTATTGTAAGCGTTCGTTACGTAGGGAAGGATAAGATCCCAGTTGGTGTGGTTGGAGGCGACATACATAGAAAGCATGTCACCAAGAGTGTGGTTGAAACGTTCGGTCAAGCCGTTCGTTTGTGGGCGATATGCGTTAGTACAGAGATGAATCACATGGCATTCAGCAAGAAGTTCTTGAATAACATCTGCGAGAAAGACGCGGCCTCGGTCACTCACAAGTTCATGTAGAGCGCCGTGACGCAGAACAACACGTTGCAGCAGGAAAGACGCTATGTCACGTGCCGTCGCGGCTGGTAGAGCGGTCGTTTTTGCATATCTCGTGCGATGGTCGATCGCTACAATAATCCAGTGATTCCCAGCTGATGTATATGGCAGAGGACCATAAAGGTCTATTCCAACCCAGTCGAATGGTCGCACTGGGCACGGTAATGGCTGCATTGGTGCAGTAGGACGGTAGGATCGGGCTGGCGGCGTTGGCACTCTGTGCAAGATAGAATGTACTTTTGAACGAATGTGTACATGCCGCGCTAATAAAACCGAAAACGTGGCCTGGCGTAGGTTTTAAATAAACCAGCGTGGGCAACACTGCAGATCGGCATGGAAAGCTGCACATATGCTGACACGGAGATGCCTGGGTATGACGTGTAGCCATTTGCGGCCGTTAGGTTGGTAGTTTGCGGCTATACAGTATTCCATCACGGATGGCGGAATGAGAGGCTTGTCGGTGTAGTGCTCGAGATGGCGGGCGGGCGAGTGTTTCAGATGGGTAATCTATCACATACGAAATCCACGAATCTTCGCGCTGCTCCGCAGCCATGTCGATGGGTCCTGATAGTGAAAGTAAGTCATCTTGGATGCAGACACTCGCAATATCTGTAGAAACAGGCAAGCGCAAAAGAGCATCGGCATCGGCTTATGCTCTTCTGGCCTGAGCAATAAATGACACTGATGTCGTACTCTTGGAGCTGTTAAGCCCATCATGCCAAGCGTCCGGAGGGATTTTTGAGGGAGGATAACCAGCAGAGCGCGTGGTGGTTGGTAACAACATCGAAAGGGCGGCCGTACAGATAAGGTCGAAATTTGGTAATGGCCCAGATGATCGCTAGGCATTCTTTCTAAGTTACCGAATAATTTGCTTCTGTCCTTGTGAGAGTGCAGCTCGTGTACGCAACAACATATTGTCACTAGGTGAAAATAACAGAATACAGGACGACGGTGCGACCAGAAAAAACGAGGTCAGTATTAACAGAACAAAAGAGCAGCCACTTCGACTTCTTCTTCCTCGGAAGAACCATGAGTGCTGTCCACGCTTATCACTTCATCGTCCTCTGTCTTTTTTCCCGGCCTTTAGCCGTGACATTAGCGTCCCATTCAAGAAAGCATCGTCCCGATGCATTATAATCAAAGCGGTTTGTACTCGTTGGAAACGCATGAGTTCATTCGGAGAAATAAGGCTTCATGCGTACCACGTGCACAACTTCTGGGGCATACCTTCGACGCCTTGAAGAGTGCGCAGTATCAGGAAGAACCTCATAATTAATGTCACTGGGACGTCGCAGAACTTTATAGGGACCGAAGTACCATCTTAACAGTTTTTCTGAGAGGCCACGGCGCCGAATAGGTGTCCATATCCAAACTTTCTTTTCTGGCTCATAGGAGACTGGTCTGTGACGAAGGTTGTACCGTCTTGAATCGTAGTCCTGCTGGCTACTAATACGTAGGCGTGCAAGTTGTCAGGCTTCTTCGGCCAGCTGAGTGATATAATCAGCATCCGTTTCAGTGTCTTCGCACTCGTGCGGCAGCATAGCATCCAGCATAGTGGTGACTTCACGACCATGAAGAAGGCGGAATGGCGCTGTTCTTGTTTCTTGATGAGCCGTGTTATAGGCGAACGTGACATACGGCAAGATCTCGTCCCAATTTTTATGCTCCACATCGACGTACATGCAGAGCATATGCGCTAGTGTCTTGTTGAGACGCTCTGTAAGACCATTCGCTTGCAGATGATACGCCGTTGTTCGCCGGTGGGATGTGCCGCTAAGTCTTAAAACTGTCTGTAATAGTTCGGCTGCGAATGTAGTTCCCCTGTCAGTTATTACCACTGATGGAGCACCATGCCTCAGCACCACATTCTCTACGAAAAATCGGGCTGCTTCACTTGCCGTGCCTTTCTCAAAAGCCTTGGTTTCGGCGTAACGAGTGAGGTAGTCGGTGGCCACTATAATCCATCTACAACCTGCTGATGAAGTTGGAAATGGGCCCAAAAGATCCATTCCGACTTGTGCGAATGAAGTAACAGGCACGTCAATAGGATGGAGGAGGCCTGCTGGTTTGACGGGTGGAACTTTTCTGCGCTGGCAATCAAGGCACGTCCGATCATAGTGTTGAACGGTCGCCGTCAGTCTTGGCCAGTAGTATTTTTGCCTCACTCTGCACAGCGTATGCGTGTAACCCAGGTGGCCGGATGTTGGTTCATCGTGGCATGCCTGTAATACTTCGCTCCTTAGAGATGTTGGGACGACGAGTAAATAGTCCTTTCCGTGTGGCGTGAAGTTCATCTTATTTAGGACGTCGTTGCGCAAGCAAAATGACGAAAGCCCTCGCAAACAGTCTAGGTACAGCTGAAGTGCGACCCTCTAAAAAACGTATTATGGGTTCTAGTTCGGGGTCGTCTCGTTGCAGCTGTACGACAGTTGCCGTGTTCACAACTCTGACAAAGGCTGTATCGTCATCTTCTGCCGTCGCAGGTTCGTATGGCACACGAGAAAGGCAATCAGCGTCTGAATGTCATTTCCCCGATCTGTAGACCACAGTCATGTCAAATTCTTGAAGCTTCAGGCTCCAGCGCGCTAACCGTCCTAAAGGGTCTCTTAAATTCGTCAGCCAGCAGAGGGAGTGATGGTCGCTGACAACATTAAAAGGACGACCATACAGGTATGGGCGGAATTTTATAGCCGCCCACACCACCACAAGCCACTCTTTTTCCGTAGTGGAATAAGTTTCTTCCGCACGTGAAAGGGTTCTGCCTGCGTAAGCTATTACTCGTTCGGCGCCATCCTGCCACTGCACGAGTACAGCTCCTAAGCCGACATTGCTAGCGTCGGTGTGCACTCTTGTTGGTGCGTCATCATCAAAGTGTGCGAGGACTGGTGGCTTCTGAAGGCGTTGCCGCAGCTCATCGAATGATTTTTGCTGCTCTTCATTCCATACGAATGCGACGTCTTCTCTGGTAAGGCGGGTCAACGGCGAGGCAATGCGCGAGAAGTTCTCAATGAAGCGTCGGTAGTAAGCACACAGTCCTAAAAACCGTCTGACCGCCTTTTTGTCAGTTGGCG